TTTTTGTGCCATTATATGTTTTCTTTTTTATTATAAAATGCAACACAGGGGGGTGCCTGGGTGGCTCAGTTGGTTAAGTGACCGATTTCGGCTCAGGTCATGATCCTGGAGTCCCGGGATCGAGTCCCGCATGGGGATCCAGTCCCGCATGGGGATCCAGTCCCGCATGGGGATTGAGTCCCGCATCGGGCTCCCTGCTCAGCAGGGAGTCTCTTTCTCCCTCTGACCCTCCCCCCTCTCATGTGCTCTCTCTCTCTCTCCCTCTCTCATTCTCTCTCTTTCAAATAAATAAATAAAATCTTTAAAAAATAAGTAAATAAAATAAAATGCAACACAGGAAACAAAGCCACACAAAAGAGTATAGAATGAGAAGAAGGTGAACACCCAGGTCAAAAAGGTGAACTTTGTTGGTCTCCCCAGATGTTCCTCCCATTTGTTTCATTCCAATCACAACTTTGTCCCTTCCTTCCAAAAGTAACCTTTTCCTGAGTTTCACTAAGGTCAGACACCTAAGTATGCATCTCTAAACCTTATGGTTTAGCTTTTTTATCTTAAAAACAAAACATAACAAAAAACCCGACCTAATTATGATTTTTTAAAAGTGTCTTTTATTTATTTATTTATTTATTTATTTATTTTTATTTAAAAAAAAAAATATTTATTTTAAAGATTTTATTTATTTATTTGAGAGAGAGTGTGAGAGAGCACCAGCAGGGGGAGGGGCAGAGGGAGAGGGAGAAGCAGGCTCCCCGCTGAGCAGGGAGCCCCACAACGCGGCTGGATCCTAGGACCCTGAGATCATGACCTGAGCTGAAACAGAGTTAGACGCTGAACGAAACAGAGTTAGACGCTGAACCGACTGAGCTACTCACGTGCCCCCAAATGTTTGTATTTTTATAAGGAAATAGATTTGTTACAGTGGACTTGGCAAACAGAAAAGGACAGTGAAATGAATCTGGATGCACAGTATATAAATTGTATCATTTGCCATCTCTGAGACACCTGTTAACAATCAAATGGCACTGCCCGAGGATCCTGTCTGTGTGGTGTTGTTGAGGTGTAGGTTTTTGTGACACAAGTTGTGCCTACAAATGTTTGTTTTCTGCAGATTTCATGTTATACTGTCTTTATAGCCATAGATAAATTCTCATTCCTGAGGTCTCTTATAATGGAGTAAGAGAGATTTATTTACTGTTAGGAAAATAAGAGAGTGAAAATAATTAAATTGATTTCTCTGGGAAACAGCAATAGGCAGATTGAAATTGGTTTTTTACACTCATTTATATATATTGTAAATATTTAAGTCTTTTAGGATCCTATCTTTTCCCCAACATTCCCCAAATGTCCCTTATGACATTTTACATGCATGCAGAGAAGTTGAAAGTTTTGCTACACCGAGTGTCTGTGTACCCACCTATGTGGATGGGTAGATGTGATGAAGCCAAGTCCAGCAAAATGTTAACAGTTGGGTCACATGTGAATAAGGAGATTCTCAGGTAGAAATATTTTACCAAAGGTTTATACAGATATTTCGGCACGCATGTATACACACACACACAGTAGGTTTTCTGATGTTAAACTGTCTTGTCCATTCCTGGGATAAAGTCTGCTTGGTAATGATGTATTATTATTTCTTTAAGGTACAGCTGGATTCAGATTGCTGATGTTTATTTAGGATTTTTGCACCTGGTTTTTTTTTTTTTAAGATCTTATTTATTTATTTGACAGAGAGAGAGACAGCGAGAGAGGGAACACAAGCAGGGGGAGTGGGAGAGGGAGAAGCAGGCTTCCCGCCGAGCAGGGAGCCCGACGCGGGGCTCCATCCCAGGCCCCTGGGATCATGACCTGAGCCGAAGGCAGATGCTTAACGACTGAGCCACCCAGGTTAAGATTTATAGTTTTATAAGTAGAATTGATCCCTGGTTTTTTTTTCTGTAGTGCCCTTGCTTACTTTTGATGTCCTTGATGAATGAGTTAGGAAACATGTTTTAATGCTTTGGGGCTCTTAATCTTTATTACAGAGTGACCTGTTCCTCAAAGTTTTACTAGAATTGCCCAGTTTAATTGTCTGGGGCCAATGCCTTTGGGAGAGGTCTTTGTCTTTTTGTTTTCTTTTTTGGTTAACAATTTTTCCTTTTTTTTTTTTTTTTACTTGATTTTAGGCTATTTCTATTCTTCTAGGAAATCACCCATTTCTTCTGGTCTTTTCTGTCTCTCCTTCTCCCCCCTCCCTCCCTCTCTCACTTGATCGCACTGTCCCCTTTGCCTACAGTGTTGCTTCTTGGCTGGATGCTCAGACTTCACCTTAGGCTCTGAAGAGCAGCATTGTCTTCATTGCTTTAGATCTCCCATGATAGAGCCCTGGTCTTTCTATGCTGAGTTAGGTTTTTCTTAGTCAGTATTGCTGCTTGTTCTTAATGGTGCGGCAGGTGTAGGGACCGGCACGTGTCCTTTAGTTTTATGTCCGGGGCACGGCCCCAGATCCTAACACACTGAAGTCCCAATCAACAGCCGGACTGGGGCTAGGGGAGAGTCAGTTTATGGCCTTTTGACCTTGTAGTAGTGTCATTTGGTCATTGGCTATCCTAACATCCCTCCTGTGTGGCCTCTCCCTATAAGTATATGCCCCTACCCTATTGAACTCAGAAGTGACCACGTGACTTGATTTGCTAATGAGCTGTGGTCCAAGGTATCACTTCGGGTCAAATTTGTAAGTATGATTCTCCATCTTTCATTTGCCTCTATCACTCCTACTGACCATGTTCCAAACAGAGGCTGCAGGAACAGCCTTGGTCCCGGAGTGAAGACAGCTTTTTTTTTTTTTAAAGATTTTTATTTATTTACTTGTCAGAGAGAGAGAGAGAGAGAGAGCGCGCACAAGCAGGGGGAGCAGTAGAGGGAGAGGGAGAAGCAGGTTCCTCATCGAGCAAGGAGCCTGACGCGGGACTCAATCCCAGGACGCCGGGACCGTGACCCGAGCCGAAGGCAGACGCTTAACGACTGAGCCACCCAGGCGTCCCAAGACGGCTTTGAGCACAGTTACAGATGGCACATGGTGGACAGGGAGCCGGAGTGAGAAAGAAACTTTTGTTACTTTAAGTTACGGAGATTGTGGGGGGAGTATTCATCATTACAGAAGAACTTGACCCATCCTGACTGATACAGACCTCCCCTCCCCTTCACTGTGAGGGTCCTGTCTTCTTCAGGGTGAACTCTGAACCCTGTGGACATCTGCTTACTCTTGGCGTTTTCATTTAGTCCTTTGTTTGCTGGGCATTATTGTAGACAGTGGTGAAGGGGATGGGCTTTGAAACGAGAAATCTGGATTCAGGCTTGGCTCTAATACTTCATAGCTACAATCTTAAGGACACATCAACCGACCTCTTAGTGCCTTAGTTTCCCTCGCTGTAAGATGGAAAGAATAGCAGTGTCTACCCCTTGGCTGTGTTGTGAAGATTCATGAACTCTGGACAGTACTCGTTTTATAGATGTTAGTATTCCTAGGAGCAGAGATTTATAGAGATTTATTAGCTTAGGCCAAGTTGTCCTGCAGTAACACATGACCCCCCCCGGATCTCAGTGGCCCACACAGCAATCTAACTTTAACCCCAGTCTTATTCTTCCTCCTTTGTAGGTTGCTTTGTAGCTCTGCACTGTGACCTTTTACAGTTGACCAACACCCCTCTTGGGGACATGCTTCTCTCAGAACAAGATAGCTGGTGGAATCATGTAGTGCTTAGAAGTAGCACTGTCCCTTTCAGTCACATACCATCACCCAAGGCAAGTCACAAGACCAAGCCTGATATCAGGGGCAGGGAAGTATAGTCTTTTTATAGAGAAATAAATAATTGGGAACAATGGTAAAATCTACCACAAAGGCCTACTCATTAGGATTAGCAAAATGACTGAGATGTATTTCTTCTTACCAGAAGCTCTTAATCTGGTAAAGATAGACAAATAAAGAGAAAAATTGCAACATAGCATGAGTAAGGTGAGATGCCCAGGTTGGATCTGTCTGAGGGAGTGACCATCTCTGCCTGTGGAATTAGGGGATGAACCTAGTCAGCCTCCAAAGGGTATCTGGCAACAGTACGACTGCAGTCCTTGGGGCTGAGATCCTGGACAGGGTGTCTGAGGTGCTTCTGAAGGTGGTTCAGCTCCAACATCACCTGCCTCCTTTGGGGCCACGTGGGTGGAAGACTCTCACTTGGGTTCATCTGGAGACACCAGTGCACAGTTCTGATAAGGCCATGTGGGTAGGAAGGTGGGGGTTACCTTCACAGAATCCTCGTGAAGCCTGGAGACTGACCTAAAGGAAGAAGGACTCCGTTGAGACCCCAAGTCCTCCAGAGTACAGGGACACGGGATAGAACACAGGTGGAACCTAGGGCCAGGGGAGTCAGGAGCTGAGTTCTGCATGCCCAGATTGGTCTGGAAGGAGACATTCTGAGCCTCTTTCTCCACAGGCGTTACGCCATGTCTTCACTCTGACTCAGGCTCCACAATACCACACATGGAGTTTGAATCTGAGGGTGAGGGTGGGAAGTCATTGTACATTTCAACAGATAAGGAAGAGTGGCAGGGGACAGACTTGAGGGTATACAGGCTGGAAAGGCGTGACGGAAAGAAATCCAAGGAGGCCCTGGAGCTCGAGATGCCATGTTGAATGAGGAGGTGTGAGAGGACAGGGCCCCTGCGGAGGAGGCATGGGCTCAGGGCCCACAGTAAAGCTTCTGGCAATGAACAGCTTCTCAATCGCACATGTCCTGGCTTCACGGAAGCAAGATGGGCTTTCACAAGTAAGGCTCCAAGGAGTCCCCCCAAGGCGGCAGAAGTTGATCTTGAGGTGAAGTAACTTACACCTGGCCCTCTAGCAGAACGTCACCACAGACACCGGGCTGACTCTGGGGCCATAACATTGCCTGATCCTTCTGCCCGCGGAGAGCAGGGCCAGGGGCAGGTTTTGCCTCTGGAGGGAGGATGGGCAAGACCCGGAGACCATGAAGGACCGGACTCAAGTTCACCCAGCAAAAGGTGAGAGTTGGTCTGGGTCTGGAGAGGCACTGGGGCTGGGGGCAGGGCTTGGGTTCAGTGAGCACGGCTGTGCCCAGGAGCCCCTTCCTCCCCGACAGGCCTAGAGGAGCTGCTCGGGGAGCAGCCTGGGTGGCCCGGCCCCTCAGAGCTGCTGCTTCTTCCCCCAGGTTTGCCTTCTCGCCCTACTGACTGGCTCCAAAGAACGGAGGACCAGCCCCGAATGCTGGTGAGCTGGCTTACTTTTACTTTTTTTTTTTTTCCCTGAAATGCTGGCTTGTGTCCCAGAAAATAAGCGGATATTCTCTTTCTTGAAAAGGGGAAAGGCAGTTGCTCATGTCTGTGTCAGGCACTGTCTTGGTCATCTGTGTGTTGGGTGTTCTTTGTTGAAAAGTATACCCGAGATTAATATGAAGAGTCCAGGAAACTCTTGAACATAAGTGGTATTTTTGAAAAAGATTATTAAAAATTTTAAGTGTACTATTAAGTTTTACTCCGTATCTGCCCTAGCTAAGGATACTGTGCACTGGACATCTTGTTACCTTTTTATCACTGAATTTTTTTTGTTAAGTTTTTATTTCAGTTCTAGTTAGTTAACATACAGTGCAATATTGCTTTCAGAAGTAGAATTCAGTGACTCATCAGACACATATAACACCCAGGGCTCATCACAAGTGCCCTCCTTAATGCCCATTTACCCAGTTACCTCACCTCCCCATCCACCTCACCTCCAGCAGCCCTTAGTTTGTTCTCTATAGTTAAGCACCTCTCTTTTTTTCTTTTAAAGATTTTATTTATTTATTTATTTGAAAGAGAGCATGAGGGGCGCCTGGATGGCTCAGTTGTTAAGTATCTGCCTTTGGCTCGGGTCATGATCCCAGAGTCCTGGGATCGAGCCCCGCATTAAGCTCCCTGCTCGGCGGGAAGACTGCTTCTCCCTCTCCTGCTCCCCCTGCTTGTGTTCCCTCTCTTGCTGTGCCTCTCTGTGAAATAAATAAATAAAAAATCTTAAAAAAAAAAAAACACTGGTTGTTTAAAAAAAATGAAAGAGATCATGAGTGAGAGAGTGCAGGTGGGGGGAGGCACAGAGGGAGAGGGAGAAGTGGACTTCCCACGGAGCAGGGAGCCTGCCATGAGGCTTGATCCCAGGACCCCGAGATCATGACCTGAGCCAAAGGCAGACGTCTGCTTAACCGACTGAGCCACCCAGGCACCCCATATAGTTAAGAGTTTATTATGGTTTGTTTTCCTCTCTCCTTCTCCCCTCCCCTATGTTCTTCCCTTTTGTTTCTCAAATTCCACATATCAGTGAGATCATATGATACTTGTCTTTCTCTGACTGACTTTTTTTTTTAAAGATTTTATTTATTTATTTGAGAGAGAGAATGAGAGATAGAGAGCACAAGAGGGAAGAGGGTCAGAGGGAGAAGCAGACTCCCTGCTGAGCAGGGAGCCCGATGTGGGACTCGATCCCGGGACTCGATCCCGGGACTCCAGGATCATGACCTGAGCTGAAGGCAGTCGCTTAACCAACTGAGCCACCCAGGCGCCCTCTCTGACTGACTTATTTCGCTCAGCATAATACCCTCTAGCTCCATCCATGTCGTTGCAAATGCAAAATCTTAAAAAAAAAAAAAAAAAGTAACTTTATGGAGAATTAAAATTGTGGAGTCTTTGTACTGTTCTCAGTTTCAGGAGAGGTGCACATTGCAAACCCCTCATTCCTCTTACGCCTGCTTCCGTCTGTAATATCTGTGGTAAGTGGTAACATGCTGTGTGTGGCTCTCAAACGTTACTGTCGCTGTCAGGCCCTGTGTCAGGAACATTTGGTGCGAAAAACATTCTTGTCAGGTGTGTCTCTAGTATTTTCAAGTTAAATACCTACTGAATTTCTTTTTACAAAAATCTAAATTGTGGACACTTAGTTTACGGAGTATTTAAGTATGTGGATCACATCATTTCCCCCTTTTGCACTTTGACCTGCTGCCACTAGTCTCGAGATCGGGCGTGTAAGCTAAAAGTGCCCTCATCGTGCACCACCACGTATGGGCAGACATTGCAAAGCATAAACAGTTTTCTGGGTAAGAAGCATTTTTTTTTTTAAGATTTTATTTATTTATTTGACAGAGAGATACACAGCGAGAGAGGGAACACAAGCAGGGGGAGTGGGAGAGGGAGAAGCAGGCTCTCCGCTGAACAGGGAACCCAATGCGGGGCTCGATCCCAGGACCCAGGGATCATGACCTGAGCCTAAGGCAGACGCTTAACTGACTGAGCCACCCAGGTGTCCCTGAATTCCACATACCTTTTATGTATCACAAAACATCGTTATTCTTTTGACTTTTTTCCAACTATTTAAAAATTCAAAAACCATTCTGAAGTTGTGGACTATACAGAAACAGAGGGCCCCATGTTCTAGATCAGTGCTGTCCAGTAGAAATATCCTATGATCCAGGTGGGAAATTTTAAATTTCCTAGTAACCGCATTCTACAAAGTAAAAATAAATGGATGAAATTAATTTTAATAACGTTTTCTTTAGCCCAGTGTGTAAAAAATCTTATCGTTTCAACATGTAGTCAATATAGAAAAGTTAATTAGATTTTTTTGGTACTGAGTCTTGAAAATCTGGTGTGTATTTTACACTGAATATGTGAAGAATGAGAGGAAAAAAGGCTGATTTTGGAAGAAAAACACTATGATCTCAATGTGCAATGAGAGCACATCTTTTTTTTTTTCTTTTAACTATTTCATCTATTTATTTGATAGAGAGAGACACAGCGAGGGAGGGAACACAAGCAGGGGGAATGGGAGAGGGAGAAACAGGCTTCCCGCCGAGCAGGGAGCCCGATGCGGGGCTCGATCCCAGGACCCTGGGATCATGACCTGAGCCGAAGGCAGATGCTTAATGACTGAGCCACCCAGGCGCCCCAAGAGCACATCTTCATTCAGACTAGCCAGCTACCTTTCAAGTAAACCCGTGTGACTAGTGGCTACGGTATTAGAGAGTGCCGTAAATTTCTAGATAAAGTATGTAGAGAAGGGTCACATTTTTGGAGACACAAACTAGTTTCAGGCAGAAGTTTCTTCAGCAGTTTCCTTCAAATGGCATTAGCTATTTCCCTGATATGAATTAATCACATTTTCTTTGTTCCATTTACATCTTGTCCCATGTGTTTTGATCTGATTCCATCTATTTTGAGTTCCATCTAACTAAGGATGGGTTCATCCATTTCAGTCTCATTCTGTGTGTTTTGATTTGGCCTTAGCTAGGCAACCTAACTAGATTGTGTTTTTATTTTTATTTTTATTTTTTT